CACATATATTCAATAACTCAACACTCATGTTGTACATAGGTATTAGTACTGGTAATTTGTTACACTCCAATAATGCATATCATCATTCACTTTTTCTCTTGGAGAATTCAATAATAGAGGCTACTTTTGCTGTACGTGTGATATGATAGATTTTGAGAAAAATCTTCACCACAACTGAATTTCATTTTCTTCATCATCTTCTTCACCGCAAAGTTTCAAACCCCAGATCCAATCCATCGCTTGCACTTCATCATCTTAATTTCATTTTCTTCTTCACCACAACTAAGCATTTGAGAAAAATCTTCCAAGCTAAAGCTGATTGAACTTCACTTCACCAAACAGGAGATCCATGGCAGCTTATGGAACTCTGCTTTCTCTTACAAACACTATAGACCAAATCCTGAATCACCCTCGCCCACCCATTTCCCTCGACAAACTACAAATCAAACCTCTGATAGAAAAAGTTGCTTTCTTGCAAGAATTTCTTGAAAATTATATTATTGATGATGAAGATGGCTTGGAGAGGCGTATGGTCGATGCGGCTCACGAGGCAGAAGATATAATAGAGTCCCACATTGCCGATCATATTGAGGCTCGTGGTGAAGCTAACATCAGTCCGAACGATGGCAACGAGTCTTTGTATGCAGAGCTACAGAAAGTGATTCACGACTTGGATTCCATCACAGAAGACGTGGCTGCTATTAAACATAAGAAGACGGGGAGAAAAATTGCTCCTTCTTGCACGAAGGATGATGCCATGCTGGTTTCCGTTGATGGCATGAACGACATCATGGATAAGCTGAAGGGTCCTTCTTCAGAAGCAAGCGATAGTGTCATGAACGACATCATGGATAAGCTGACCAATCAACAATCCAATCGTCCGATCATCGCAATTGCAGGCATGGGCGGCATTGGTAAGACCACTCTTGCAAAAAAAATTTACGAAAATCAAGTTATTGTGGAATACTTTGATATTTGCGGATGGGCTACAGTCTCTCAAGAATTTGATTCTAAAAGGATTTTGTTAGAAGTCCTTCGCTGTTTAAATAAAACCATAGGGAGTGAGGACAGCGAACATGAATTAGGACTAAAACTGCATAAGAGCTTATTTGGGCGACGATATCTGATTGTGATGGATGACATTTGGAGTACGGAAGCGTGGGATAGAGTGAAACACTTCTTTCCAGATAACAACGATGGGAGCAGAGTATTGATAACCACTAGGCTATTGAAAGTGGCTCTGCAATTGGATGGCCCGGATTACTTTCAGATGAGTTTACTGAATCAGAACGAAAGTTGGAATCTACTGCGTAGGTGTGTGTTTCAAGACCAAGGTTGCCCTCCAGAATTGAAAGAGATTGGGAAGGAGATTGCCGGAAAATGCAGAGGCCTTCCATTGTCAATTGTTGTAATTGGAGGACTCCTAGCAAAGTCTGAACGGACACAGGAAAACTGGCAGCACATTGTAGAAAATTTAAGTTCGACCGTGAATTTAGAGGAGGACAAGCGTTGCTTTAGAATACTAAAGTTGAGCTACAATCAACTACCGGTCCATCTGAAGCCGTGCTTTCTCTACATGGGCATGTTCCCAGAGGACCATAAGATTTGCGTCTCGACGCTCATGAGGCTATGGGGTAATGAAGGATTTGTGAAACCGGTGGCCGGTAAAAGCTTGGAAACAACTGCTCGAGTACTGTACTTACATGATCTCGTGATCAGAAATCTAGTCATGGTTCGCAGGTGGGGCTGCACTGGAAGAATAAAATACTGCGGCATCCACGATCTCCTGAGAGACCTATGCGTAAAAGAAGCTAAGAAATACGAATTCTTTCGCACGATGCAAACAACAACGCACAACAGTGACCACGATCAAAGCTGGCGCACCCAACGCCGTATCGGCATTCACCAAGCCGGGAAATACAGTCCTCCTAAAGCTGTGCAATCTGCATCACGAGCGCGAACTCTGATATGGGAAGTTGATGGAAGTTTTCCATCTGCAGTTCCTTTTAGACTGCTAAGGGTTCTGAATGAAAAAGAACACGGTCGGCCTTACCCATTTTTAGGAAACTACTTTCATGTGGTTAACTTGCGCCACTTGGATACCAAAGCTGAACTGCCGGCACATAAATTTCCTCCTGAATTTTACCAATTATGGAATATACGCACATTAAAAGTGCATTCGGATGAAGATAACTGGCCGGTGCTGGACATTTGGCGGATGCCCCAACTCAGGCACGTCAATGTATGGCATATCCTGCTCACGGACCCTCCTCCAGCAGAAGAAGAAAATGCTTTGATGGTGTTGGAGAATCTAGAGACGCTGCAGATAGTACATAACTTGAGGTTGAGTAAGGAAATGGTTGAGAGAATCCCCAATATCACGAAGCTGGAAATACAATACTACGAAGAGGAATTATCACCCGCTGAATACGGTCTAGAAAATCTCTGCCAACTACATAAGCTGGAGAACCTTCGCTGCTTTATTTTTTCGAGGAAAAGTAAGCTGTCAAGGGACGTGATGATCACGTTCCCGATTACACTCAGGAAGCTGTTATTGGTAGGCACTCAGCTGGGGTGGGAGGAGGTTGGGACAAAGATAGGGTCGTTGCCATATCTCGAGGCCCTCGAGCTATGTGCCGATTCGTGCATTGGGCCCGAGTGGGTAACAGCCGAGGGCGGATTCACGAGCCTGAAATACTTGATAATCCTCGGTTGTGATCTTGAACGGTGGAGGACGGAGGCCAGGCACTTCCCGCGTCTCGAGCGGCTCGACCTAGAGGGTTTGGACAAGCTGAAGGAGATTCCATTGGAAATTGGGGATATAACCACGCTTAGGGAGATGAGGGTGATGAGTTGCAATGACTCTATCGTGCTTTCGGCAAAGAAGATAATAGAGGAACAACAAGGGTGTCTCGGAGAAGTCGGCTTTCAGATTAAGTTTGGATAAGTACCAAAAAATCCCAACGACGAGAAGAGAGTTTCAAGAGTTGTCCAAACTTTACAGTTTCTTATCATGATTACGACAATATATTTGTGAGATAACAAAAAGACCCAACTATCGAAAGAGAGGTTGAGGACAATGAGGAGGAGGAACTTACAGTTTATGATGATCGATCTTGTTGATGATAGAACTTGGAAAACAAGACTATTGGGGAAGTGGAGTTTCAGATTGAAGTTAACCAGCCAGGCAAAGAGAGGAGGGATTGTTTTTTTTTATTATTATTATTTTCATTTTTTTTTTTTGTGTGTGTGTGGGTGTATGTGTGCCAGTGTTCAGTGTTGTTTATTTTTCCATTGTATTTTCAATCGGTACTAGTATTCTACCTGTGATTTGCACAAATGTAAATAAAATATTGTGAGTTATTTGTATGTATATAATGATTAATTATTTTTCTTTCACGTTTTTGCAGCCAAATTTACAATTAAAGGAGTTGATTTTTTGTTAAATTGCGTTTATTAGATTGGATGTAACGTATATTTTGGTATGTAATTTTTTTTAAAATTATTTATAATTTATTTAGAAGTTTCATATACTTTTTTTATTTTCCAAAAAAAATAATTTACATGTAACCACAATAATAATATCTAATCAAATTATACGGTAACACATTATATGGTTAATTGTCAGTAATCAAAAGTTCAAAATGATTTTTGTATTTTAAATTGATTAGTGTATTGATTATCTATTAATTAGATTAAATAAATGAAAAGTAACGGTTTTTGGGGGAAAAAATATAAAAGTGTCACCTAGGTATAATTTATGAGATTTTCTTAAATATAAAAGAGCTAGTAATTATATATATATAGATTGTGATGTTAACAAACGATTCTCACCGAAAAGACCAGTGCAATTTTTAATTTCCATTTTTCCATAAGAAGGTTACTTAGGGTGTTGTTGGATATAAAATTTTGATTTTATACTTTGTTTTCGATTGGTTTTTATTGGTTAGTTAGAGTTAATTTTGAAAAAGATAATTAAGTTAGGTTAAGTTAAGTTAGATTTGTGTGAGATATTGAGTTTAAATTAAAATTATTTTTAAAATATAATAGTTAAAGTTGATACGATTTAAAAATATGAAAAAATTATTGAAAATGATATCTACCCAAAAAATTAGATTAACAACCTTAAAATTACCTAAAGTGTTGGGTATTTCTGGAAATTCATTTATTTCAAGCAACTCTCTCTTTTAATAGATTGTTATCGATTGATACTAAAATATATTTAGTTTAAATTAACCTATCATAGTAATTTGTATTGTATGTTGAAATGATAAATCAGTGTCTAATTTAAATTATTATATTATAAAGACATAAATATTTAAATATATATATATTATTAAATTATTTTGTGATTTTGTTTAGCGTTTTACGTTGCGTTTTCCTTGTGTGTTGAATTATCTTTAAGGCCGAGTATCCAAAAAAACCACTTTAGGCGTCTCCAATGGTTAGCTATTTGGCTAACTATTATGACGTGGACAGGGGAAAAGTAAGAGAGAGAGTAGTCACTAGCTACTAACAAATAACTTATCTATTTCACGTAGCCCAAGATCATGTGAGAGAGGTATGTGGGTCCAATAATGTAAAATAGTTATTTTTCTTATCTCTCACATCCACGTCAGCTAACCATATAACTAGTAATAGCTATTACCATTGGAGATGCCTTTAGAAAACATAGGATGAGCTGGCGGTGAGAGTGCTACGTGTCATCTCCCTAATGAATACACATGGCACGTGTCCAACTTCTGCTACTCCATCTATTTTTTTTATCTTCTCAAGTTCACCGCCTGTTGTGTACATAAAAACATCGTCTGCAAAACTTCTCATTACACTACCAACTGTAAATGGGACAAGGCGAGGAGAAGAAAACAAGAGACCAACCAACTGTTGAAATTCAGGTAAAAACACACACTTAAACGTGAATCTTGATCGATCCTGTTCTACGCAGTGCAAATGATTGATGATGTTTTTTTATTGAATAAAAAAAAAAATTGATGAAACAGGAAAGAGGTGAAATCTTCTTCTTTTACAGGCCGAAAGTGAACAGAGAGGAGGCTCATGGGGCAGAGGACGTACAACGCCTTTACCTGGT